CTTCCACTCATTCATTGTTGCACTATTCTCTCTACCCTCCTCCCAGTTTGTTCTTGTCCAAATGCCACAGTGCTTGTCAAAGCCTCTTCTCTTGTTATAAAGAAAATATTTTACATCTTGTAAAATTTTACAAATGCAAAATTTTTAAAAATTTTAAACTAAAACTCTCAATGTTATTGCCACATGCCAGCTATTTAAAACTATTTGGAGGTTAAACATCATGTACATTTGGCATTTAATACAATCTCCTTTTTAATAAATCTGGCCTCCTTGTATTTCATATGCTGCACCCTCTCGGTTCTGCTTCTAAGTATCGGTTTTTACTCTTTTCCATTAATTCCTCTCTGCCTGGCCTTTGCATGTCTCTCTTCCCCCAGGATCCTGCTAGTGGTGTTTCTCGCTTGACATGCACATTCAACATAATTCTACTTCCATGACTCCCTATAATTCAGTGATTCCTAAGTTTGTCTCCATCCTAGAGTTCTTGCCTTATGTTTACCTCTTTGCTTAAAGCCCTGTTTGTACCTTAAGTTTTGAGCATCCGAGCTCTGATTATCCTTTCCACAGGTAGTTCCTGCTGAATAGGTACTACTAATAAGAGATTGTGTTTAATAGGACCCTGTAGGACAGTAGAATAACCCATAGAGTTTCCGAGGCTGTAATATTTACATTTAAACAACATATTGCACTGAACAAATCTGCGGAAGAACCTCTCTAAAGAGATAAAAAAGCCACCGTGTCACTTTGAGGACTATGGTGCGCTGGCCCAAGCCATTTCATTCACTTCATATGCAAGCCAGAGCTGGACAGTGAAAGAGGAAGACCAAAGAAATGCCTGTCGACTACGTTATGGTGAAGAGTATGGAATGTATCTTCCAGAAGAACGAACAGAATTCTCTTGTAAGAGATAGAGTGAGAATACTTCTTGGAAGTAAGGATGACCAGACTGTCTCACGTACTTTGGACATTTTGTCAAGAGGGATCAGTCCCTGCAGAAGAGCATCATGCTTGGCCAAAGTCAGTGAAAAGGAGGAAAACGTCAGTGACATGGATTGACCGTGTCTGTGGCAGCGGGCTCACACGGAGCAGTGGTTGTGAGGATGGGCAGGACCAGGCACTGTTTTGTTCTGCAGGGCACAGAGCGACGGTGAGTCGGAACTAATGTAATAAGGTCTGGCAACAACAAACAACAGTGTTTATCAGAGCAGACTGCTGCGTCTTTCTGTTGATCAGATCACATATCTCTCCTTTTCAGACTTTTGCAATGAATCCTCATCATCACTGTTATTTTCAAATTGTGCTCTGTGGGCCTTTCCTCAGAGCCTCCTGTAAGGGAAGGGGATAGGGGTGCCGCAAGACAGAGGGAAAGCAGGTGAAGCTGAAGATAACTGGGGTTTAATATCCATTTTGCATCCAAATGAAGGCTTATTGAGAAGGAAAATAAAAAGGCACATTGCTTTTCTTATGTGGAACCATCCTTGCATGGCTAATATGAATCCCACTTCGGAGGAGCAAGAAAGATTATTGGATGGATGGGTAGGATAAAGAGAAGGAGAGGGTACAGCGAGGATTTTAAGATGCAGGAATTGATAAATGACATTGATCAATTTTAATTAATGTTATAAAACAAAATGTGTATGAATTATTGAATGAAAACCAATTTTTAAAAATACCTAACAAACAAAAAGCCCTGTATACCTTATCCAGTTAAATGCATGTAGTGGTAAAAAGCTATGCTGCAATCCTAAAGGCATGCAGTTTGAATCCACCATCTGTTCTGTGGGAAAAGGATGGGCAGTCTCTTCTTATGCAATTTACTGCCTCTAAAAACCTGCTAGAGGGTCAGCTATAGGTTGGTTCTGATTCAGCAGCAAACAACAACAACAACATGCAGCTTTATAAAAACGAAATATTTCATAAAAAAACCAAAAAAAGAATAAGCTTAAACAATCCTTCATCCACCCTCCCTCAACCATGCCCTAGATGGAATGACTTATTCCTCTCAGATGCATGTTGTTGATAGTTGCCTGTAGTCGATTATGACTCATGGTAACACGGTGAAGGGCAGATTTGAGCCCTGCCCTATCCTGTGCCATCCTCATCATCTCTGCCACACTCAAGCCTGTTGTTAAGATCACTATGTCAGGCTGTCCCGTTGAAGGTCTTCCCCACCTTCATTGACCCTCTGCTTTTCCTAGCATGATGATGTCCTTTTTCAAGAACTGGCCCCTCAGAGAAGTAACACGGTAACACTTCACAGTATGCTCACATATGGTAGGACATCTTAACACCAATCTCTACTAGAGGTCTTACCTGACTGTGCTGGACAGCCTTGTTTATATTGTCTTCTTCCTGAGTACATGGAGGTTGTTGAGGACAGGAACCATGTTTTATTAAATTTGCAAAGTTACGCTGCCATCCTGAAGGTGTGCAGTTCTAATCCCCCAGCTGCTCCACGGTGAAAGATGAGCATATGCCTCCTGTGTAATTTACAGCCTGGGAAAACCCACTGAAGGGTCAACCATGAGTCAGTACCAACTCAAAGACACACAGCAACAACAGCTCCTCATCTCATAAGAGTTCCTAAAAAAATGCCAGTCAGCCGGTGAAAGCTTATTCCAAAAACTCTCTTAAATTCTCAGAATTCTCTTAAATCTAGTCACTTTATGGCCTTGTTTCAGCCAGTGAACTTGGAAATTATTTCTTTAATTATGGATTATGATTTATTTAATTCTTTACTAGCTGGGTGACCTTGGGAAGGTTTCTTAACCTTTATATCCTTTACCTTTTCTGTAAAATAAGGAGGATAATGAATGACATCTCTTTTAGGATTGCTGTAAGATAAAGTATATATATAATACTGGTGTTTGACATATTTCAGGGGTTATTTATTATTTTTTTTTAATTCGCTAAGGTGAAGAGAGTCTGTGTACATCTGTATCACCAAAAACAAACAAATTGTAAATAAGATTTCTGCAGCTCTTTTAAATGCTTTTTTCTTGTAGATGAGGAAAGTATAAATACAAAATATTTAAAATGAAAAGCTTCAGGTCTTGTGGAATCTCTTTTTGTTCTCTTAAGAGTACTTTCTTTTCGTTTTTTAGAACTGGAATGATTACAGTCACCAGGCTTTTGTTTGTGATCACCTGTCCAATCTCCTTGAACTGCTTCTAGAGCCAGAGCAGCTCTCTGCCTCCCTTCATTCGACCCACACTAGTCTAGTCTCTCGTGAAGCCGTGGTGGCGCTCAGCTTTCTCATTGAAGGCACAGTGAGCAGAGCCAGGAAGATCTATCCATTTCATGAACTTGCACTGTGGCAGCCGCTGCATGCAGAAAGTGGCTTCTCAAAGATCTCTAAGACCTTCTCCTTCTGCAAGCTGGAGGCCTGGCTGAGAGCCTGTTTAACGGGGAACCCATTTGGTACATCTGCATGTCTCAAGTCTGGAAAGAAATTGGCTTGGGCTCACCAAGGTAGTTTTACATTTTTTAATGCATGCTAAATTGAATGGCAAGTTAAGGGACTTAATGTATTAATTAATGTATTAATGATAAAACATCTTTTGTAATCTTTAAAAAAAAGTGCTACTTTAATTATTTTTTTTTAAAGTGCTATTTTAAAAGGAAAAAGGGAGTAAGTATCTTGTATGTGACATTTTCCCTCAAGGCAGCAGCAGTTCAGAGTTGATTTATGGTTAAAGTCTTTTTGGTTGCAGTTTGCAGAAATTCCAACTGCATTGTCCTCTCTTTCTCTTGATTGTGTCTTCTCAGAATTTCTTTTTCACGCTAATATGCTCACTTGCTTGAGGCTCTCCTATTTTCTGTGCAACACAGCAAAATTTAGCCATCCATAGTAACACCCTTGAGAGAGCTGGTATGTAGATGAAGTCTTCTTTTTGCTACATAGATCCGTAGAAACTAGGTGCTTCCAAACTAGAAATTTAAATTTATAGTAGGGAAAATCTGGCCTTGATTAAATTAGGTACCTTTCCTGACTAGAGGTCTGGTGCCTTGTTGTTGTTGTTGTTATTAGGTGCTATCAAGTTGTGCACAACTTAAAGAGACCCTATGAGCAAAAGATCTGAGTATGAACAAAAGATCTGAGCCCTGTCCTGCCCTGCTCCATCCTCACACTTCCTGACACACAAGAGCCCATTGCAGCAGTCACTGTGGCAGTCCACCTGGTTGAGGGTCTCCTTTTGCAGACCCTCCACCCTTCCCAATATCATGTCCCTCTCTAAGGAATAGCACCTCCTAGCAATATGTCCAAATTATGTGAGGCAAAGCCTCATCATTCTTGCCTCCAAAGAGCACTATAGCTCACTATCTCCAAGACATATTTGTTTATTCTCTTGGCCGTCCATGGGATGTTCAGTGCTTTTCTCCAACACAATAGCTCAAAGTTTCAATACTGGTCGCTTAGTGGTAAGGAATTGTGTTGCCAATGCAAAGGTATGTGGTTTGAATCCACCAGCTGCTCTGTGGGAGAAAGATGGGCTGTCTCCTCCCATGTGATTACTGCCTCTGAAAAACCTGCTGGAGGTTAAGGGTAGGTTCCAATTTGATTGTACATAACAACAACTATAACTAAAAGAGTAGGTCCTGGTAATGCATGGCCGCCTAGAGTACTGGTATAAGTTCTGGGGTGTTTTTAATTGGATTGCCTACAATAATTTGTTTACATTGTTTCATTCATGTACACTGTGTTTTATGCAAGCCTTCATTTACATTGTGTTCCATGCAGTCATTCATATACACTGTATTTCGTACAGCCAGATGTCATAAAAAAAATGTGTATGAGTTAGTGAGTGGAAAACCAGTTAGCGCTATGTGCTATAAACTTTCACTGAAATAACAATTTTAAAAAAAGGAGAAAAGACTTCAGGCGCTTATCTCACATTAAGCTACATACTGAGGCAAGTGCCATACAAAATTAATCAGAAAAACAAAACGAAACAAAAATTGCAGTAGAGTATATGACTACAGATCTGAGTTTCAAAGTTGAAGTGGGGGAAAAGCTTCCATAGAAATGTTTTTTCACCATTTGGTTTTGTATCAGAATTTTCATAAGGCTGTGGTGACTCAGACAGTGGACTCAGGTACTCAGAGATGGTGAAGATGGCACAGGATAGGGCAAGGAGAGCAATACTGGACAGCCAGATCCTGTCTTCCACCTCTCCCACAGACCGAATTTTAGACTTGTAACATGTATATATATATATGGTTAGCTGTCACTGATTTGAAACGTATTATATGTTTTCTTAAATAGTTGAAGGGACTACCAAGAGAGCTAAGATTGCTTGTAATACTCACGTGGCCCCCCGGATGCACCGCATGGTGGTGATGAGCCAGGTTTACAAGCAGACGTTAGCCAAGAGCTCAGAGACTCTGGTGGGGGCACATGTGAAGATTCATCGGTGCAATGAATCTTTTATCTACCTGCTCTCTCCCTTACGGTAGGTATGGTGTTCCTAGTTTCTTGGAATTTTTACATTTCTTTATACAATAATTGATCTTTTGTTGCCATCTGAAAATATTTTAGTACGGTGTTGTTTCTCTAATTCTCATTCAAAGGCAATGACTTTGTCTTTTCATATTTCAGGTCTGTGACCATTGAGAAGTGCAGGAACAGTACCTTTGTCTTGGGCCCTGTACAGACTGCTCTTCACCTCCATAGCTGTGACAGTGTTAAAGTCATTGCCGTCTGCCGTCGTTTGTCCATCTCTTCCACCATAGGTTGCATCTTCCACATTCTGACACCTACACGCCCACTTATTCTCTCTGGAAACCAGTCCGTCACTTTTGGCCCTTTTCATACTCATTATCCAATGCTGGAGGACCATATGGCCCGGACCGGCCTGGCTACAGTGCCTAACTACTGGGATAACCCAGTGATTATGTGCAGGGAGAGCAGTGACACGAGCGTCTTCCGGCTCTTACCGCCTTGTGAATTCTATGTATTTATTACCCCATTTGAAATGGAGGGGGACACAACAGAGATACCTGGAGGTCTTCCATCAGCTTACCAGAAAGCACTGGGCCAGAGAGAACAGAAGATACAGATCTGGCAGAAAACTGTGAAGGAGGCACGTTTGACAAAGTGAGTGCTTCCTAGACAGCGTTGTCTCTTGTGAAACTCTATGGAAAAACAAACTAACATTTGGAACTGTGTTTCATTTGTGTAAACGTGTTACAGCCAGAACACTATTTAGCACTCCCTGTCAGAACACTACCTAGCAATCACTTGGTCTCAGTAAATATCTACTGAGTGAATAAGTCACCACATTATAACAGTATAATAACTTGATAGTGTATTTTTATAAATCTGATCTATATTTTTTATTTTTATAATAGTTGTAGTGGTCATGGTCCAGTGTCCTCTAAACAGACAAAAGATGTGGAAAGAAGACATGGATTATAGGAATATATAATCATTTAAAGTTACCCCACAAAAAATGTTTCAGAATCACTTAGAGTGGAAATGATGTGCATTGGTGTTCTTACATTCTTTTCCATCTTAATTTCAATTTCAGGGATCAAAGGAAACAGTTCCAGGTCCTCGTGGAGAGCAAGTTTTATGAATGGCTGATCAATACAGGGCATCGCCAGCAGCTGGACAGCCTTGTCCCTCCTGCAGCAGGCTCCAAACAAGCCGCAGGCTAGGCCTCTTCTATCACAACAGGGGGTAGGTGTGTACAGTGTAGGTCCTTTAAGCAAATTCCCAGACTCACTCCCTATTCATTCTAAACCAGCTGGCCCTTCAGTGGGTTTTCAGAGGCTGTCAAAACTACCGAGAGTATTATATTATTAGCAGTATTGTGTCCTACAGCCACCATGACAAATTGAATGTGCCTTAAGACAATATAAACTTACTCTTTCAGCACTGGAAGGTAGCAGGTTGAAATCCAAGCTCAACAGTTGGTTCTTTTGAAGCTCTAAGGGAGAATCTGGGCTCAGCCTTTCTCCTAGTTTTATTCTCTTCCCTTATGTAGTCTTCTCTCCTGGGTGTCTTTGTTTTGGTGCCAAAATTTCCTTCTTAAATTGACACCAGTCTTCACCTAGTGTGTGTTCTTAATTCATTACCGTCGGTTCTTGATCTCGATCATATGCTACTTCTT